GATACTCGTAGTGCCCGGAAGTCGTGCTAAACGCTGTCTTCCATTCATCGCCCTTTCGGATGCGCACCAAGTTATATGCGCTCCTAAGATCCAATTTTGTAAAGAACTGCGCACCGTGCAGTGACTCCGTCATAGTCGCAATCAGAGGAAGTGGATAGCTGTACTTCACTGTGATCTGATTGAGACCGCGGTAATCAATACACGGCCGCAGACCTCCATCCTTCTTCTTCACAAAAAAGAAACTTGAGGAAACGGGTGAAACGGAGGGCCGTATGTATCCCTGTCTAAGAGACTCAGAGATGTATGTCTCCATAGATTTCTTCTCCTCTTGAGACAAGGGATACACATGGCTCCGCGGGAGAGCTGCGCCTGACTGGAGATCTATCGCACAATCCCCCCGTCTATGAGGCGGCAGCTGCGCAGCCCTAGTCTTACTGAACGCCAATGCCAAATCCTCATACTCGGGGGGAATCTGCAGTGCTGGCATTAGATTCGGACTCTCCACCGAGGTCGCCCCTATGGAAACACCCAGACACCGCCCCTCACATTGAGCAGACCACCCTTTAAGAGCTTTCTCTCGCCACCCAATAATAGGGTCATGAGTCATCAACCAGGGAAGACCCAGCACCACCGGATACGCAGGAGAGTCAATCAGATAAAGCTGAATTCTCTCCTCATGACCCTCCTGCGCCATCATCTGAAGTGGTGCTGTGACCTCCCTAATCAACCCAGACCCTAACGGACGGCTATCTAGGGCATGGACGGGGAAAGGCTTATCCACTGGAAGAAGGGGAATCCCTAACTCTAAACAGAACTGGCGATCTATAAAATTCCCAGCTGCGCCTGAATCTACCAGCGCCTTATGCTGGGAACGAGGTGCAACCTGTGGGAAACAAACAGGCAAGGTTAGGTGCACGACAGAAAGCTCTGGGTAAGCAGGGCGCCTACTCACCTGGGGGGACCCCCCAATGCTAGACCTGCCATCTCCTCCCCTGGAGGACCCGCCCCAGCACCTAGCCGCAGTGTGCCCTCCACGACCACAGTTGGTGCAAGGGCCGGGTCCCCGTGGGCTCCTCCTCCTCCTTTCCCTAGCGCCAGCACCCCCGAGCTCCATAGGACTCGGCTCGGAGGCGCTGGAGAGTGGAATGGGCGAACCCCCCCCTCCGGGACGCCCACGGGTGGCGAGCAGGGTATCCAGCCGGATGGCCATGTCGACCAGTTGGTCGAAAGTTAACGACGTGTCCCTGCACGCCAACTCTCGCTGGACGTCCTCTCGGAGGCTGCAGCGGAAATGGTCAATATGGGCCCGCTCATTCCACCCTGCATCAGCCGCTAGGGTCCGGAACTCTAAGGCAAAGTCCTGTGCGCTCCTCATCCCCTGTCGGAGGTAGAACAGACGTTCCCCCGCCGCCTTCCCTTCTGGTGGATGGTCGAATACAGCACGGAAGCGGCGGGAGAACTCCGCATAGTTCGTGGTTGCGGCGTCCATTCTCCTCCACTCGGCGTTGGCCCACTCCAACGCCTTGCCGGTGAGACAGGAGATGAGGGCTGAGACGCTCTCGTGTCCCGAGGGCGCCGGGTGTACGGTGGCGAGGTAGAGCTCCACCTGCAGCAGGAACCCTTGACACCCGGCGGTGGAGCCGTCGTACGCCCTCGGGAGCGAGAGCCGAATCCCACTGGGTTCCGGAGATGAAACCGGAGGGCTGACCGCTGGAGCTGGGTCGGTGGTTGGAGGTGTGGGCACCCCGCTGGTCTCCCATCGGTGTAGAGTGTTCATCACCCTCTCCAGGGCGTGACAGACCTGGTTCATTCGGTCCTCCTGACCACGAAGACGTTCGTCCATATCGGCGGTCGGCGCGGTCGCTCCTGCTGATTCCATTGGGATGCGTGATTCTGTCAGACTGGTGTAGGTGGATGATAGGAATCAGGCGCAGGAAACCAGGAGGACGTCAACAGAACTTTACTGAGTCCAAACACAAGTATACGTCGCCAACCCAACCGGGTGGCGCGAACAATTACGCACGAAATACACAGTGCGAGAAAACAAGGAAAAGCGCACACAGTGCGAGCTCTCGTAATACAACACAACGAGAGAACAAACACGAAGAGGCAGGCTGACAACAACAATCACGCATAACACCTGACCCAAACAAACAAACTAAATAAGGGGAACAATCAAGACACAAATAAGGGACAGGTGTTATGAACAGACAAAACCAAAAGAACAAGAAACATCGAACGGTGGCAGCTAGTACTCCGGAGACGACGACCGCCGAAGTCCGCCCGAACAAGGAAGAGGAGCAGCCTCGGCCGAAACCGTGACAATGGCAAAGCACTCAAAGATCTCTATTAACAGGTCCCTTCATGGTCGGCAATTATGTTGTGGAAAATAATCACTATACTTTATTAAAAATCAAAGATCTTTCAGAGTTTTTGTAGAATCAAGAATTACTTTATTACAATTTCGATAAAGCCAGGCTAATCTGCAGATTAGGGCCCCTCTTCCCTAGCTATATAGTCTCCTTCACACATACCCTATCTTAAAATCCCTCCCTCTTCAGTTTCCCGCTCTTTATCGCTCCGCCCACTTCCTTTGTCTATGATGGCGGCTAAATTCGACTTTCATTCAGTTCAGAATCAATAGTAATACAATCAATCAATCCCTTATTTTGCAAAAACACTCATGTTTAGTTTAAACACTGTTCAACCCCGGCTCTCCCGGGCTTGACCTGAAGACTGATTGTTGAACATGACAGGTCCATACTTAAATCTTTCAAACATACATAAACCCCACCCCATCCCGCTGTAATCAATCAAGAAGATAGCCAAGGAGAGACAAAGGTTTAGCCTGAACTCTGCTCAACTCTGGCCACTTATTCCACTTTGTTTGAGGAGTGAAGCAAAAGGCCACAGTCTGCTTTCAGTCACTGATAACGTAGGACAGCCATGGATTTCAGTAAGAGTGAGCAATTCGACCCTAGGTCAGATTCCCACTTTACCCACACACACACAGTGAAATGACCCAATTGAGTTCCTGGCCCAGCAACAAAGAATTCTAACTCTATGTTCGTGATTACCCCAGTTTTATCTCATAGTCCACTAAAAAATATCCATCAGCGGTATGACGGCTGTGTGGTCCCATGGTGTTTATACTTGCGTACTATTGTTTGTACAGATGAACATGGTACCTTCAGGCGTTTGGAAATTGCTCCCAATGATGAACCAGACTTGTGGAGGTCTACAATTTATTTTCTGAGGTCTTGGCTGATTTCTTTAGATTTTCCCATGATATCAAGCAAAGAGGCACTGAGGTTGAAGGTAGAACTTGAAATACATCCACAGGTACACCTCCAATTGACACAAATGTTGTCAATTAGCCTATCAGAAGCTTCTAAAGCCATGATATCATTTTCTGGAATTTTCCAAGCTGTTTAAAGGCACAGTCAACTTAGTGTATGTAAACTTCTGACCCACTGGTATTGTGATACAGTGAATTATAAGTGAAATAATCTGTCTGTAAACAATTGTTGGAAAATTACTTGTGTCATGCACAAAGTAGATCTCCTAACTGACTTGCCAAAACTATAGTTTGCTAACAAGAAATGTGTGGAGTCGTTGAAAAACAACCTCGACTTCAACTATAAGTAGATGCTAGCCTCGCCAGCCATCCTGATTGCTACTAGTGAACCATTAATGTAAGCTTGTGAGATCAAGGTGGCTGGCGAGGCTAGGTAGATAGATACAGGCCACATGTTTTCTCTGGCCTACAAAAACAACCCTATGACATGTTTTAATCTTCAGATTGTGTCGGGTTCTGATTTCAAACATGAGCAGGTGTGTTCTGTAGGTAGCTTTCCAGCTGACCCTGAACTGTGTCACAGCTGTGCAGGTCGTCAAACCTGAAACACCTGAATACAGAGAGGAAGGAGCACCAGCTTAGAACTCCCATCGCTGCCACACGCAAAGGCACAGAGAGAGGACAGACACACACACACACAGGTATGCATATGACAAAATGACAAAGCCTTGGGTCTCTTTGTCCTCCCTGTGCCTCAGGAATCAGAAACAATGACTAAAATCAGATAATGAGCCAGTGTTCCTCTGTAATGAGCAGGTAAAGTGGAGGAGGGCTTTGTTGGCTCAGAGGTACAGTATACACAGGTAGGTAGGGGGGTCAACAGGATGAACTCTGGCGGAACTATAGGGGGCAAGGGTCATAAACGGCCATGGAATTTAAACTGAGTATGGAGGAAGATAGGTGTGAAGGATAACCCTTGAGAGGTAACTGGCATTCTGCATGATATTATGTTGATAGTGGTTATGGTGCATTGTGGTGCTTGAGTAACAGTTTATAATCCAACAGGCAAAAATAGATATCTGCATGACATCATCATTGTTGATGTATTTTCTCTCTCTGATGGAAGTGGGGATAGTGTCATATACCTCTGTGTCATGCAGCACACTTCCCTCTGAGCAAGTGTGTGTGTATGTGATGGGCCAGAGAGTTTGGAAAAGAGTGGTATCGGAGTGAAAGGTTAGTGAGACTGGGGTTTCTGAGAAGTGACGGTGTTTCTGTATGCCAGGAGTCAACCAGAAACACCAGGACTTCCCTCATGCCACACAGAGTCAGAGGTACAGAGGACTTATAGGAACCTGAAAGAGACTCGTGGGAGCAATAAACCTCATAGGATCACTCAACGAGAGTCCTAGAGCGTAAAGGGAAATGTTTCGAGGTATAGAAATAGATTCAGGTACATAGCATGGTACTGTAACCTGGTAGTTCCTTTGCCAGAGGTGGCTAACCAGTTTTGATGGCTCATGTTGGTATAGCTGTTGCGTTTCGTCAGACACACACACACATTCACACTCACACACGCTCACTCCACAAATACCTCTGTCAGGTATAGACAAGAAGCATAGTACATCCTAAACAAACAGCTTTATTTTTTCTCAGCCCTGTAAACAACTTCATTCCTCCTCTCTCCCTCTCTCCCTATCTCTCAATCAGTGTGGCTGCTGCGTCCACTGTGTGAGTCGGGAGGTGTGTGTGTGACCCCTGCGTTGGTCGCACATCTCTCCTGTCTGGGGGTGCTGGTTCTCCTCACCTGCAACCTGGGATCAAAACACATCCAACTTTATTTAAAACATTAATGCATTCTTCCAAAAAAGTATAAAATCCAAGCAATGAAAGGAAATAAATTAAGAATTAAGAAAAGTAAAAGTGTTAAGAAATACGTTACAAGCAATAATGACATAAAAGTATTAAAGAGAGATAAACTTATCAGACTAAATCCTTACTTCTGCATCTTCTTGGTCTCCTCCTGCATGTAGATACAGGCCATAGTGAACATCTTAAACTCCTTGTAGTTCAGGTACTAAGGGAGACAGAGGTGTATAGTACAGTATGTAGAAACACATAGAGGCCAACCTTAAGCTGGATAGCAGAGACATTGTTGTCTCTGGACAGCTCAGGACGAATCACTGGTTTGAGTATCTCGTCTCTAACTAGAGACATCAAATTAGAAGATCTTGTTACCAACAAAAGCCCTGGGCCCTTGTCAAAGGTAATGCACTATACAGTATAGTGAATAGGGTGCCATTTCAAACCCAGAGAGAGCGAGTCAGTGTACCTCGTCTCCGGAGACGTCGAACTCGTAGAAAATCTTATCGAGGGCGTGTCCCTTGAGATTGAACAGGAAGCCAGAGGCCTGGAACTCGGCGGGGCTGATTGTATGACCTCCGTCCATGTCCAACAACTCAAACACCGGCCTGGAGTGACGGAAGATAAAGTTCTTCTCCACGTGGTACTGGAAGAGGTCGCACACAGATACACACACATACACATACACACACACAAATACACACACTCGCACACACACACACGCACACACACACACACACGCGCACACACACACACAGACACACACACACACACAGACACACACACACACACATACACACACACACACACACACATACACACACACACACACACACACAAACACATGTGATGCTTTCACACATTCAAGACAGCAGCATATCACCCTGCATCCCACTGCTGGCTTGCCTTTGAAGCTAAGCAGGGTCAGTCCAGGTCTGTCCCTGGATGGGAGACCAGATGCTGCTGGAAGTGGTGTAGGAGGCACTCTTTCTTCTGGTCTAATTGTTGTATTTATCCCAAAGCCCCAGGGCAGTGATTGGGGACATTGCCCTGTGTAAGGGGCTGTCTTTGATGGTATGTTAAACGGGTGTCCTGACTCTCTGTGGTCATTAAAGATCCAATGGCACTTATTGTAAGAGTAGGGGTGTTAACCCCGGTGTTCTGGCTAAATTCCCAATCTGGCCCGCATACCATCATGGCCACCTAATCATCCCCAGCTTCCAATTGGCTCATTCATCCCCCCTCCTCTTCCCTGTAACTATTCCCCAGTGTGTTGCTGCAAATGAGAATGTGTTCTCAGTCAACTTACCTGGTACAATAAGGGTTAAATATTTTTTTAAATGTATAAAACAACACACATAAAGATAATACATAATGTACGAAAAGGTTCAGTAACCTTTTCTCATTACTGTTCCAGCTGTGATTTATAGCATTTCTATGAAACCTCTATTTTCTGGTCAACATTGAATCATGGCAGTAAAAAGCCTTTTGTTGTATCTGTAAACATGACTATAATTGTTTAATGAGATATAAAAGGGGAATTGAGAAGCAGGTTGTGTTAAAGGGGTTTACATCTCTTTGTCTGATAGCCAGATATGAGAAGTGGTTTCCCCTTGATAAACAAGATCAACAGAGAATGGCCTTTAATGGCCTTCAGTTTGACCGCATGGTTCTGACATACAAGCTCTATTCTCCTTGACCACATGGTTCAGCAGTAACCGTTATGATATAATACAGGGAAATGAATGAATTACTTATCTGCACTTCAGTGCTGGCAGACAAGACAAAAACACACACACAACACACAAACACACACACAGAGCGAGAGAGAGAGAGAAACATTACCTCGCTGCAGAGCAGGATGCAGACCAGCATGTAGAACTGTTCGAAGCCGATCTCTCCGCTGGCGTTCCAGTCTAACATGTCAAAGGTCATCATGATCTCCTTCTTCTTCAGGTCAGTCACATGGTGCATGAAGTGGTAGAACTGGATGTCTGCAAGAAGAAGAGAAATGGCTGCTTAGCCTACTGTTTGCTGCTTCCAACAGTGATCTTTAATAAATGTTGTGGAAAAAAGTTTTAATAACCAAAATTTTTTCTTTGTCAGGTTACACCCATACATGTAAGGAGGACACAAATTACCTGGATGTCTATGAATACATAGATAAAAATAAAATCTGTCATGTTACTGCCTCCACATTACCTACACACATCTAAGTACACAAATGAACATTTACATTTACATTTAAGTCATTTAGTAGACACTCTTATCCAGAGCGACTTACAAATTGGTGCATTGAACTTATGATAGCCAGTGGGACAACCACCCTTTTTCTTTTTTCTATTTTTTTATTGGGGGGGGGGGGGGGGGGGGGGGGGGGGGGGTTAGAAGGATTACTGTTATATTATTCCAGGTATTCCTTAAAGAGGTAGGGTTTCAAGTGTCTCCGGAAGGTGGTCAGTGACACCGCTGCCTGGCGTCGTGGGGGAGCTTGTTCCACCATTGGGGTGCCAGAGCAGTGAATAGCTTTGACTGGGCTGAGCGAGAACTGTGCTTCCGTAGAGGTAGGGGGGCTAGCAGGCCAGAGGTGGATGAATGTAGTGCCCTCGTTTGGGTGTAGGGTCTGATCAGAGCCTGAAAGTAAGGAGGTGCCGTTCCCCTCACAGCTCCGTAGGCAAGCACCATGGTTTTGTAGTAGATGCGAGCTTCAACTGGAAGCCAGTGGAGTGTGCGGAGGAGCGGGGTGACATGAGAGAACTTGGGAAGGTTGAACACCAGACGGGCTGCAGCGTTCTGGATAAGTTGTAGGGGTTTAATGGCACAGGCAGGGAGCCCAGCCAACAGCGAGTTGCAGTAATCCAGATGGGAGATGACAAGTGCCTGGATTAGGACCTGTGCCGCTTTCTGTGTAAGGTAGGGTCATACTCTGCGAATGTTGTAGAGCATGAACCTGCAGGATCGGGTCACCGCTTTGATGTTAGCGGAGAATGACAGGGTGTTGTCCAGGGTCATGCCAAGGTTCTTTGCACTCTGGGAGGAGGACACAATGGAGTTGTCAACCGTGATGGCGAGATCAAGGAGCGGGTAGTCCTTCCCCGGGAGGAAGAGCAGCTCCGTCTTGCCGAGGTTCAGCTTGAGGTGGTGATCCGACATCCACACTGAAATGCAGAGATGCGATTCGCCACCTGGTTATCAGAAGGTGGAAAGGAGAAAATTAATTGTGTGTCATCTGCGTAGCAATGATAGGAGAGACCATGTGAGGATATGACAGAGCCAAGTGACTTGGTGTATAGAGAGAATAGAAGAGGGCCTAGAACTGAGCCCTGGGGGACACCAGTGGTGAGAGCATGTGGTGCGGAGACAGATTCTCGCCACGCCACCTGGTAGGAGCGACCTGTCAGGTAGGACGCAATCCAAGAGTGAGCAGCGCCGGAGATGCCCAACTCGGAGAGGGTGGAGAGGAGGATCTGATGGTTCACAGTATCAAAGGCAACAGATAGGTCTAGAAGGATAAGAGCAGAGAAGAGAGAGTTAGCATTAGCAGTGCGGAGAGCCTCCGTGACACAGAGAAGAGCAGTCTCAGTTGAATGACCTGTCTTGAAACCTGACTGGTTTGGATCAAGAAGGTCATTCTGAGAGAGATGGCAGGAGAGTTGGCTAGAGACGGCACGCTCAAGAGTTTTGGAGAGAAAAGAATACTGGAATACTGGTCTGTAGTTGTTGACATCGGAGGGATCGAGTGTAGGTTTTTTGAGGAGGGGTGCAACTCTCGCTCTCTTGAAGACGGAAGGGACATAGCCAGCGGTCAAGGATGAGTTGATGAGCGAGGTGTGGTAAGGGAGAAGGTCTCCGGAAATGGTCTGGAGAAGAGAGGAGGGGATAGGGTCAAGCGGGCAGGTTGTTGGGCGGCCGGCCGTCACAAGTAGAGCATGATCCTGTAGGTTCATGCTCTACAACATTCGGAGAGTACGACCCTGGATTACTGCAACTCGCTGTTGGCTGGGCTCCCTGCCTGTGCCATTAAACCCCTACAACTCATCCAGAATAACGCAGCCCGTCTGGTGTTCAACCTTCCCAAGTTCTCTCACGTCACCCCGCTCCTCCGCACACTCCACTGGCTTCCAGTTGAAGCTTGCATCTGCTACAAGACAATCGTGCTTGCCTACGGAGCTGTGAGGGGAACGGCACCTCCATACCTTCATGCTCTGATCAGTCCCTACACCCAAATGAGGGCATTGCGTTCATCCACCTCTGGCCTGCTGGCCCCCCTACCTCTGCGGAAGCACAGTTCCCGCTCACCCAGTCAAAACTGTTCTCTGCTCTGGCACCCCAATGGTGGAACAAGCTCCCTCATGACGCCAGGACAGCGGAGTCACTCACCACCTTCAGGAGACACCCCACCTCTTTAAGGAATACCTGGGATAGTATAAAGTAATCCTTCTACCCCCCCTTACCCCACCCCACCCCCCAAAAAATAAAAAATAAAAAACATATTGTAAAGTGGTTATCCCACTGGCTATAAGGTGAATGCACCAATTTGTAAGTCGCTCTGGATAAGAGCGTCTGCTAAATGACGTAAATGTAAAAGTAAATGTTAGCCCTGTGGAGATGGAGACATCAGTCTGTTACTGAGGACACTGTTAGCTCTGCGGAGATGAACACATCAGTCTGTTACTGAGGACACTGTTAGCCCTGTGGAGATGGAGACATCAGTCTGTTACTGAGGACACTGTTAGCCCTGTGGATATGGAGACAGGAGAAGGATCAACAGTCAAATATAGTGTGAGGGGTGAGCCATCCTCAGGAAAGGAACTTATCAAGGCGGTATATTTAGATATAAATCCACAATCTACCATTCAGAGTGTTCCTGTTGTGGACATCCAGTAGTTTGAAGTAGTCAGACAGTATTTTGGTGTTGCGCAGGGAGAGAAGACAGTAGACACTGTCAAAGTCCAGATAATTTAAAAGAGCTCCTTTCTTTAGCTTCATCTTGGCTCACTGACTGACCACTGCAGAACTGCTGTCCCTCTCAGCTCTACCTGGCACTGACATCACAATGGTTCACCATCGAATTTGGTGTTCCATTACAGATTCTACATTCTATTGATAGAATTCTGACATGATAAACTCATTTGGTAGCATTTCAATTGAATTATCATTACATACTATTTTGACAGTATATGACAACTTACCAATCTTTGCCATAAAATCTTTGCCATTTATGTCACTACACTGAAAAGACAGCAATTCACTTTACTAATTCATAGGTCTAAAACTGTACTGCACACTGTCAGTGAATTCCAATATTAGCTACATTACCTCATGTGTGAGGAGGTAAGTAGACAACAACCTCCTAGTTGTATTGTTGTTCTACCTTTCACATACCTGCAAAGGTGCATCATCACAGACAAACAAGTCTCAAAGAAAGTGAACGTGAAAGAGGAAGACGTATGGACTTTTCTCCTTTACCTTCATACATAATTTAATTCCCTCAGTCCCTGCAGGGTCACATCAACTCAATTATTACATTACAGAGTATTCCTAAATAATAACATAAAAAAGGTATATGAAACCATTTTGGTATGACTGCCGTTTACAGCACACTTACAGTACATACCATGTTTACATTTATAAAGTTATGGATAGGATGGATAGTAATTGTAATCAAAATTGAAGAGATTGATTTTGAGAGGGGATGGTTGAGGCTACAAGGTACGGTACTAAGGGGTAACTAGCCCCCTGAGGTAACTGCCCCCCCCCCCACACACTTACTTTCCCAACACTTTTCCTGGCTGCCACTGCTCTTTCTCAACAACAACAAAATAATCTGTGTCATCACAACTTTTGGAGATATTTCAACAAAACTACCTTGTGGTAAATCTAACTTTTTTGAATTTTGAAATAAGTTGTAGATATATTCCAATGAAGTTAGATCTATAATTGTTTTGTAAATATAAAAGTAGGAAAGCCTTAAGATAAAGAATCCACTTGTTTAGAGAGAAAAACGTAGATGAGTAAAGTAGCAATATGTTGGATGAGTGTATTGGGGTCAACTTGCCAATAGCTAGCTGTCATATTGCTGGATAGCTAGCTACGTTTTTAAGAGAGAGCTTTTCAATTGGCATCTCTCCCCCTGTTTTTAGTCACAGTCACAGCAGGTGGGCTCATGAGTTGTGCTCCAATTTTACTGAGGATAGCTTTATTTGTGACCTATGTACAAATTAGAATCGTGCAATAGCAGAGCATAAGAGAGTTGCCACATCAATGTTACTCTGAATTAATTAGTTAAGTTATTGTTATGAAATGTTATATTCCAATGTTATTTATTGTTATTAGCTTTATTCCATTCCAATATTTATTTCCCTTTATAGTTTATTCGCCTAAGTATGACCTTCATCCACATACATTTTTTTTTCTCCAAACGTTGCTTTTTTTGTGTCAGCAATTAGATGTAGTTACCCCTTAGTATCCTACAGATTATATTAAGCAATACTGTGGGCAACTAATAAAAACCTTTGAAAGAATGCAAGGCAGGAAGTCTGGGGATGTGTATGCAGCATATGGAAGTGAGAAAGCGAGAGAGAGGTCATGACTGAACAGTCCTCTATTATCTTGTGTCTTGTTTAGGAAGGTTAGAAAGTGATTGAGTTCCTCATTCTGCCCGTCTGTACTTTTCTCAACGGGGGAATTCTATTGGATGCTAAATGTCATCGACATCGACACATATTAAAAAGCCACTGTTTAGACTTCAGCGTTATTCAGAGGATAAGTGTTGATCAGAAGATGTTTGCTTGTTGTCTAAAGGTATGAAAAATTTACTTTTAAATTAACTTTTTGGCCTATGAATTTATTTTGTAGATAAATTATTCATTTTGTACATCATATTCTATTCATTATGAACACTTACATGGGTAGAATCTTTGATTTTTATATTTGACATTTATTTGACTAAACATTATTATCTCTCTCTCTCTCTCCTCCCTCCCTCCCTCCCTCCCTCCCTGGCTCCTACTCTGTCTCCCTCGTAGATGAGGTTTACTTTACTAGGCATTCTAATCCTACACCAGGCCAAAAGCCAAAGCCCCAAGTTCACTCAGAGCAGCTGGAATCTTCTACCCAATGGTAGGAAATCATAATCTCTGATCTGTCATCGGTTAGATCAGTACAGTTTGTAACAATAATGGCAGCCTGTACACTTGTCAGTATGTTGCCTGTTCATTATTAAGACTTGTATATGTGTTTCCAGTCTGGTATAGCACAGTGCCTTCAGAAAGTATTTTTACCCCTTGACTTATTCCACATTTTATTGTGTTACAGTCTGAATTCAAAAGGGATAAAATGTTTTTTTTAAATCTACACACAATACCCCATAATGACGAAGTGAAAACGTGTTTTTAGATATTTTAGCAAATGTATTGCAAATGAAATACAGAAATATCTAATTTACATAAGTATTCATAAGTAGTCAATACATTTAGAGTCACCTTTGGCAGCGATTACAGCTGTGAGTCTCTAAGAGATTTGCACATCTTGATTGTACAATATTTGCACATTATTCTTAAAACAATTATTCATGCTCTGTCAAATTGGTTGTTGATCATTGCTAGACAGCCATTTTCAAGTCTTTCCATAGATTTTCAAGCTGATTCAAGTCAAAACTGTAACTAGGCAACTCAGGAAGATTCAATATCTTGTTAAGCAACTCCAGTGTATATTTGGCCTTATGTTTTAGGTTATTGTCTTACTGAAAGTTGAATTTGTCTCCCAGTGTCTGTTGGAAAGCAGACTGGACCAGGTTTTCCTGTAGTATTCTGCCTGTGCTTAGCTCTATTAAATGTATCTTTCCTCCTGAACTTATTTGGCTTCCCATAACACAAGGGTTGAATACTTATTGACTCAAGACATTTCAGCTTTTCAATTTTAATTAGTGATTGAACATTTGCAAAATGTTCTAAAAACAAAATTCCACTTTGACATTATAGGGTATTGTGTGTAGGCCAGTGACACAAAATCTCAGTTTAATCTATTTTGAATTCAGGCTGTAACACAACAAAATGTTGAAAAAGTCAAGGAGTGTGAATACTTTCTGAAGGCACTGTATAGAGATGAGTTAGTTATATGTTGGTTTTGCCAGCCCTGTGTATAAAGTTGAGTGCATGTTTATGTCAGTTCATCATAAGGCTACATAAAGATGAGGCATATCTTTATGTCAGTTCAACATAAGGCTATATAGAGTTGAGGGTATGTTTATGTCAGTTCATCACAAGCCTATATAAAGTTGAGGGTATGTTTATGTCAGTTCATCACAAGCCTATATAAAGTTGAGGGTATGTTTATGTCAGTTCATCATAAGGCTATATAAAGTTGAGGGTATGTTTATGTCAGTTCATCATAAGGCTATATAAAGTTGAGGGTATGTTTATGTCAGTTCATCATAAGGCTATATAAAGTTCAGGGTATGTTTATGTCAGTTCATCACAAGCCTATATAAAGTTCAGGGTATGTTTATGTCAGTTCATCACAAGCCTATATAAAGTTGAGGGTATGTTTATGTCAGTTCATCATAAGGCTATATAAAGTTCAGGGTATGTTTATGTCAGTTCATCACAAGCCTATATAAAGTTGAGGGTATGTTTATGTCAGTTCATCATAAGGCTATATAAAGTTGAGGGTATGTTTATTTCAGTTCATCATAAGGCTATATAGAGTTGAGGGTATGTTTATGTCAGTTCATCATAAGCCTATATAAAGTTGAGGGTATGTTTATGTCAGTTCATCATAAGGCTATATAAAGTTGAGGGTATGTTTATTTCAGTTCATCATAAGCCTATATAAAGTTGAGGGTATGTTTATGTCAGTTCATCATAAGCCTATATAAAGTTCAGGGTATGTTTATGTCAGTTCATCACAAGCCTATATAAAGTTCAGGGTATGTTTATGTCAGTTCATCACAAGCCTATATAAAGTTGAGGGTATGTTTATGTCAGTTCATCACAAGCCTATATAAAGCTGAGGGTATGTGTTTGTGTTGATGAGCTACAGTCAGATCCAATGTTATTGTCACACTTGATAAAGATGAACAAAAAAGACTGTATAAAATAAATAATACAAACACTGAGCTACTGTATATTGTATGCTTAACAAATAGAACAATTATATTATTTTATACCAATACAATTAGTCAGAGAAAGAGATCTTGTTTAACAAGTAATGTTTTTTTCTAAAAAAGATAGGGATCAGAATTATTGGCACCCCTGTGGCGTTATCCTCCCAAGGTGAGGTTTAGAAAGGTATTGAAAACAGCGTTGCCAATCATTTGGACCAATCTTTCTGAGCGAAAAAAATTATACTTGATAAACAAAATCTCTGACTAATTGTATTAGTATAAAATAATTACATTTTCTAAAGAATTTGAGCATACAATATAGTTCAGTATTTTCATGATTTATTTTATACTGTTTTTTTTGGCTAATCTTTATCAAGGGTGGCAATAATGTTGGACCTGACTGTGTTGGTGTTGATTGAAGTGTGTGTTGTCACCAGTTGTTGTGGTGAACGTTGACGGCTCGCTGGTTCAGCATCCTCTGACCTGCCTGGGTTCCTTCAACCGAGAGGAGGAGGAGGGTTGGAGGAAAGGCGATGACTGGGTGTGGCGGAGAGATGGAGAGGAGGATGAGGAGATCCTATGGATGATGGGTAAAGAGGAGATTAAGAGGGGAAATACCTTCCTTGTCAACCTGGAAGAGAGAACTGGAGGGGGGTTCTTTACATGTCACAGCCTGGATAGAACCCTCCTGAAGAATACTACGGTGCTGGTCAAACACCTGGATGAACAGAAACGCATTCTAGAAGGATCCACCAGAACAGGTATACAGGATTTCTGTCTGTCTGTCATCTGAAAACAAGTCAAATATTAGTTTTCATTCATTATCCAATTCTAACATCTTCTGTTTCTCTTTTGTTCATTTGTTTTGTTCTATTCTAAGGCTATATGAAATGTTCTACACGGAACTACCAAGGAGACTTCCACTGCTCCTGGAAATTTAGCACTAAACGCGTTGGGACCGTTATGTCTGTCAGAGTGGCACGGTACTATTACCACCAACCATTTCAATGTATTCCTACTACACTCTTAGAAAAAAAGGTGCTAAGTAGAACAATACAGGGTTCTTCAGTTTGTCCCCATAGGGGAACCCTTTTTGGTGCTGGGTAGAACCCTTTGCAGAGGGTTCTATCTAAAACCCTCTATGTAGGGTTCTTCAAAGAACCCCCTGTATATGGTTCTACCTAAAACCCTCTATGAAGGGTTCTGCCTAGAACCGTCTATGAAGGGTGCTACCGAGAAATCTTTTATCTTTGGAGGGTTCTTCCTAGAACCCTCTATGAACGGTTGCACCATCCTTATTAGCCTTTAAAATTGTACTACTACATTACATGCAGTAATCATAAGGCATTTCTTTGACAACCTAGTTATAGCCTAACACAGTGGTGTTAGGAATCTCCTGGTTTACAGGCCACATCAGGCCTGCAAGTCACATTATGCTGGTTTGTAAAGTGATGTGTAATTCTTATTGGAATCCAGACAGAGTTAGGATATCCAACAAGTTGAATTGTTAATCACCCGCACCCTGCATTTCTCCTCTGCCAAGATAATCCATCCACCTGACAGGTGTGGCATATCAAGAAGCTGATTAAACAGCATGATCATTACACAGGTGCACCTTGTGCTGGGGACAATAAACGACCACTCTAAAATGTGCTGTTTTGTCACACAACACAAGGCCAAAGATGTCTCATGTTTTGAGGGAGTGTGCAGTTGGCATGCTGACTTCAGGAATGTCCACCAGAGCTGTAGCCAGAGAATTGAATGTTAATTTCTCTACCATATAAGCCACCTCCAAAGTCATTTGATAGAATTTGGCAGTACGTCCAACCAGCCTCACAACCGCAGACCAAATGTAACCACGCCAGCTCAGGACATCCACATCCGGCATCTTCACCTGAGGGATTTGTCTCAGACCAGCCTCCCAAACAGCTGATGAAACTGAGGAGTATTTCTGTCTGTAATAAAGCCCTCTTGTGGGGAAAAACTCATTCCGATTGGCTGGGCCTGGCTCCCCAGTGGGTGGGCCTATGCCCTCACAGGCCCACCCAAAGCTGTGCCCCTGCCCAGTCATGTGAAATCCATAGATTAGGGCCTAATTTATTTATTTCAATTGACTGATTTCCTTATATGAACTGTAACTCAGTAAAAACATTGCATGTTGCATTTATATTTTTGTTCAGTATAGAACCCTTCTTGCCTTCCAAATAATCCATCTTGCCTTCCAAAGAATCATCAAAGAACCCTTTCTTCCAAAAACGGTTCTTAGGATGTTGAAGGTTCTAGGTAGAATCCTTTTCTTACAAAGAACATTTGTCTTCTAAAAAAAGTTATTCTGATCAAAGCGGTTCTTGGTAGAACCCTATCCCTCTGCAAAGAACCCTTTTGGAAGCCTTTTTTCTAAGAGTGTATACATTCTATGGATCTGACTGTTGTATAGTGCTATAGTGCTGTATAGGCAAGAAATGTGCATAATAACTTAAAGTATTGCCTTGACTTCAAATGAAATATTAGTGAATGGACTAGGCCTGTGTTACTCTAATTGCAGTTATCCATTTCTTGCCTTTTCTATAGTGGCCTGTCTGATGCGGAGAACGTCAACTGTTCTGTGGACGCCAGCGGACAGCAGTGGACATGTTCCTCTTCGTCTGGCCAGAGTGACATCATGTGTTCTGTGCACAGTAGTGGACTGGGGGTGTCCTGTGTGGACAGACAGTATTGTCCCTATGCTGAGGAGACTGACCGGATCACCCTGACCATCTACATGAAGACTAACTACCTGCTGGAGGAATATTCCCAATCCTTCTACTTATCAGAGATAGGTGAGTGTTAAATAGGGACCTTGTGGCAGTCATAAGGGCAGACATGTTGTAAGAGACTAGCAGGATCAGGTGCACAAGTTGTGATTGTAGGCTACTTAAAGGTGACAATAATGGTCCAGATGTGCACTTCACTATATTTACAAACTAATGCAAAAATTATATTTACAAACTTCACAATGTAACTGGTCTGTGAAAAGAAAATGCCTTGGAGCTGGCAAACCTGTCTATCCCATAACAAACACTTGGAATGCGGAAACAAAGTGCTCTGAAATTGAAGGAGTTTGTAGCGCACCAGTGGAGAGACGCACTAATAATGGCGTCGTCGCCACAGTTAGGAAACCTACCTCTATATACAAATATCTTGCAGAAGATTATATGCTGAGATTTTTTTGGTTTAAACGCTACTGAAAGTTAGTTTTATAGTGCAGAGTGCTGGTAGAAGTTATGATAATAATCTCCTTCCCTCCCTCTCCCTCCTTCCCTTGCCCTCCCTCCCTCCCCCTCTCTTTCTCTACCACTCCCTCCTTCCCTCACCCCCCCCCCCCTCCCCCCCCCCCGTCTCTCTCTCTCTCTCTCTCTCTCTCTCTCTCTCTCTCTCTCTCTCTCTCTCTCTCTCTCTCTCTCTCTCTCTCTCTCTCTCTCTCTCTCTCCCTGCCTCACTCTCTCCCTCTCTACAGTGAAGCCAGACAAGGTATCCATTAAGAAGGTGAACAGCAGTACTATAGAGTGGAGCTATCCTGTCTCCTGGAACAGCCCCATCTCCTACTTCCCCCTCTCCTTCCAGGTCAAAGAGATCAAAGACAGAGAGCGTAAGAACGGGTGCGCGTGTGATTCTCCCTGCACAGAGTCTAAGGTGAGGACTACTGTCTACATACTGTATGTACTACTATGCCTTGTCTCCAAAGCTTGATGAGAGCCATTACACCAAGACATCCAGATCCTGGACTAACAAGTCGTATACTCTTGAACTAATAGATATTCATTAGGGCACAATGTAGCAAAACGTATTTCAGGTAGTCCCTCTCTGCTTCAGGCCATTTTCTTCAATTTGGTGCTTAATGAATTTAACCCCTGTGTTCCCCCAGGACCAAACCACAGAGAGCAGCCAGTGGTCAGTAAAGGCCAAGGTGACGGTGTGTGTCAGGGCCCAGGATGCCCTCTGTGACTCCCCCTGGAGCGACTGGACAGAGTACAGGTCAGTACCACACTCTCTGGTCTACTGTTTTCAGGAGAACCTCTCCTCGAGGACCCCCAGCCGTTCCATGTATTTGAACTATTGAATAGCTAACACACCTGATTCAATTTGTCAACAAATCATCAAGCACTTGACTACTAATGAATCAGGTGAGCTAGTTCAGGGCTACAACAAAAGTGTGAAACGTCTGGGGATCCCCGAGGAGAGGGTTTAAAACCCCCGCTCCAGTCTACTTTTTTATCATGTTACATCTACCAGGGTCAGGTTCAATTGGGTTTTCCATTCAGTACATTCAGGAAGGGTATCGAAATTCAATTTCATGAATTGTTTATCAGTTCATTAATTGAACTTCTGAGAAGACATTGCAGAACAACACGTTTTTCAATGTGATGTGATCTTTCAGACACAGCAAAAAGCGAAACAAGAGGAGGAAGCTGGAGAAGCAGAAGAAGCAGGAGAAGCAGAAGAAGCAGGAGAAGCAGAAGAAGCTGGAGAAGCAGAAGAAGAGTGTGTCTCAATAGTAGATCTTTACCATACTGATGGCCATCAAACATTATCCTATTTATTCACTCTGTAGAGTTTGTAGGCATTCACACTCTAAAACATCAACTATGACAAAGGTGACTTTGTTGCCAAGACCAAAGATTGCATTTCTCAACTCATTTACTGACACAAACTTTACTTTTACATTATTTATGTGTTATTACATTTATTTATTAGTATTTATTTGATCATGATTATTTATTTATTGTTGTTGCTTTTTATCCCAAAGAGTATGACATGCACTAACATAGTCATAATGTGACTTTAAAACTCTAAATCAAAATAAACGTACAAACCTGCACTTACAGTAAGTGTGTATGAGTTATTTCCACTACTCTGTGCTCATAGTCATTAATGAATTTCAGGATTGGGTGTTGCATAACTTTGTTAATTAAATAAATAAATAAAATAAGTATCAGTTTGTTTTGTTATTTGTAAACTCAGGTTCCCTTTATCTAATATTAGGTTTTGGTTGAAGATCTGATAACATTCAGTATCAAAAATATGCAGAAATAGAGAAAATCAGAAAAGGGGCAAATACTTTTTCACGGAACTGTACCTCTTTACGCCTGTCACTGCCAGAAATACAATTTGGGCATATTGTTTTCCTATCTATGGTATCCAGCTTCTCCTAGTGGATATGACAGATGGCAACATGGTTCAATCTGCTTTGTATCATTGTTGAGCGCAGCCACGTTTTCAACCTCCATGACAACCAGATGAAATCAGAATGGAGGCAACAACATTTGTTATAGCACTTCGACTACAGTCAGCAAAGATGAGGAGTTGAACCGATAGTTCCAAACTGTGTGCAATGTAAATTGCTTTGCAACGTGCTTTACCAAACTGCCTTATAACAAAAATTCCAAGTTCTCACCTGATGACCTGTTGGTCCTCTCTCTGTGCCTCTACATGGGCGGTGCTCTCCCTGTCTCTACTGACTGTCTCTGACCCCTGCCATGACAACCAAATGAAATCAGAATGCAGGCAACAACTGTTTTGTTATAGCACTTGGGCACTACAGTCAGCAACGATGAAGAGTTGAACTGATAGTGCCTTATAACTCAAATTTTCACCTGATGACCTGTTCGTCCTCTCCCTGCCGCAACATGGGTGATGCGCTCTCTCACACTCTCTCTAATGCCTGTCTTTGAACCTTGCCATAATCATTTGACCAAATACCTTTATCATATAACAAAAATGTCTGGCCTTAACAATGATGGGGTTAGCTTATTAACATGAATTAGATTCTGCTTTCATTAGATAAATAATGTTTTTACTGTCTGGAAATGGGTATAGCTAGCTAGCTAACTACGTAGCACCAATCTATTATGAATTGTACAGAGTAGTTAGCTAGCTAGTTACCTACAGTTGAAGTCAGAAGTTTACATACACTTGGTTGGAGTCATTAAAACTCGTTTTTCAACCACTCTACAAATTTCTTGTTAACAAACTATAATTTTGGCAAGTCGGTTAGGACATCTACTTTGTGCATGACACAGGTAATTTTTCAAACAATTGTTTACAGACAGATTATTTCACTTATAATTCACTGTATCCCAATTCCAATGGGTCAGAAGTTTACATACACTAAGTTGACTGTGCCTTTAAACAGCTTGGAAAATTCCAAAAAATGATGTAATGGCTTTAGAAGCTTCTGATAGGCTAATTGACATCATTTGAGTCAATTGGAGGTGTACCTGTGGTTGTATTTCAAGGCCTACCTTCAAACTCAGTGCCTCTTTGCTTGACATCATAGGAAAATCAAAAGAAATCAGCCAAGACCTCAGAAAACAAATTGTAGACCTCCACAAGTCTGGTTCAACCTTGGGAGCAATTTCCAAACACCTGAAGGTACCACGTTCATCTGTACAAACAATAGTACGCAAGTATAAACACCATGGGACCACGCAGCCGTCATACCGCTCAGGAAGGAGACGCGTTCTGTCTCCTGGAGATGAACATACTTTGGTACGAAAAGTGAAATCAATCCCAGAACAACAGCTAAGGACCTTGTGAAGATGCTGGAGGAAACAGGTACAGAAGTATCTACATCCACAGTAAAACGAGTCCTATATCGACATAACCTGAAAGGCCGCTCAGCAAGGAAGAAGCCCACGCTCCAAAACCGCCATAAAAAAGCTAGACTACGGTTTTCAACTGCACATGGGGACAAAGATCGTACTTTTTGGAGAAATGTCCTCTGGTCTGATGAAACAAAAATAGAACTGTTTGGCCATAATGACCATCGTTATGTTTGGTGGAAAAAGGGGGTACGTTGCAAGCCGAAGAACACCATCCCAACCGTGAAGCACAGAGGCGGCAGCATCATGCTCTGGGGGTGTTTTGCTGCAGGAGGGACTGGTGCACTTCACAAAATAGATGGCATCATGAGGAAGGAAAATTATGTGGATATATTGAAGCAACATCTCAAGACATCAGTCAGAAAGTTAAAGCTTAGTCGCAAATGGGTCTTCCAAATGGTCAATGACCCCAAGCATACATCCAAAGTTATGCAAAATGGCTTAAGGACAACAAAGTCAAGGTACTGGAGTGGCCATCACAAAGCCCTGACCTCAATCCTATAGAATATTTGTGGGCAGAACTGAAAAAATTGCCAACCTAGCATAGCATCACTCGGTAGAAATCTATTTTTACACGATATTATGTCATCACCAATAGTTCACTAGTTATACAACCCCATAGGAATACATTTAAGAAATGTTAATTAACTTTTACTTGTTTCAAACTTTCAAACTTTCAAAACAATATATAGCTACCCAGGTCTTGAGAGTAACTTTTTTCATGAACGTCCCAGAATTGTCCTGAAGTGCAATTTCAACCATCCCAAACTGAAAATGAATCGTCCCAAATTAAAACAGGTTGTTTATTTATTTGTTTTGATATGCCAACATGGGCCTACCCTAGGAGCTAGGTAATTCACAGTGATTTAAAAGGCTAATAAGAGCACTACTGAAATAGATAAATGGCGCTGTCAATTGAGCCAGAAATTCACATGAAAAAATGTGCCTCTAAAAAGGCTAACATTGGAATAATATTCAAATATATTTTGAGAGCATCTTGACTGGCTGCATCCCCGCTTGGTATGACAACTGCTCGGCATTCGACCGCAAGGTGCTACAGAGGGTAGTGTGTACGGCCCAGTACATCACTGGGGCCGAGCTCCCCGTCATCCACGACCTCTATACCAAGCGGTGTCAGAGGAAGGTCCTACAAATTGTCAAAGACTCCAGCCACCCAAGTTAGTCTGTTCTCTCTGCTACCGCACGTCAAGCAGTACCGGAGCGCCAAGTCTGGGACCGAAAGGCTCCTGAACAGCTTCTACCCCAAAGCCATAAGACTGCTGAACAGTTAATCAAATGGTTTGATTAACTCTACTTTTCACAACTACCTACATGTACATAGTACTTCAATCAGTTGCCTAACCAAACTTACATGTAAATATTACCTCAATCAATCACCCCAACTACCTCGTACCCCAGTACACTGACTCAGTACTCCTTGTGTATAGCCTGTACATAGCCTCGTTATTGTTATTTTATTGTGTTAGTATTTTCTTTTTATCTATTTGCTAATTTTCAAATGTTACACAGGTCTATGAGCATTAGAGACAAGGACAATAGAAAGTACAGTACTTTGCTCCCTGTGGCGCATAATGCAGCAACAAGCCCTTGCCATGCCTGATGGTCCTTGGCAACTTTTTCAGCTTCCCCCCCTCCCCCCCAAGACAGGCCCATGGTCTTCAACCCATTGTGGTTGAATCAGAGCCACGGGTTAAAGTTTAAAACCATGTTTTCCTGACTTATTTGCTAAAGACCGGTTGAAAGTAGGCTCAGCAAAATATTCCATTCAGAAACCAGATCACACAGGCATAGGATTACTTTCATTTACAACTTTATTCTTACAAATGTATGGGTTGATCATGCCAAAGCAAAGTACTGTTGCAGTTACTGAAATTATCACACTCAAGGATAAAGTTCTTAACAGAAATAAAGCATGGAAAATATACAAGACATTAAATAACACATTTTCTTTTTTTACACCAACTGACATAGCAACAGTTGGTTGGATTTTGTTTCATTGCAGCTCATACAAAGAAAAACAGTAGACAGTAAAAACAGAGTCACAAAATAAAATAGAAAAACATCCATAAAAGCATTGAATATTTGATCACACAGTGTGTGTCAAGGTGAGGAGGTGTTTAAGGTGTGGAGGTGTTTAAGGTGTGGAGGTGTTTAAGGTAAGGAGGTGTTTAAGGTACCCGGGGTCAGCGGGAGAAGTCCTCGCGGTAGAACATGAAGACGTTGCTCGTAACAGGAAGTCAGCCATCATGGCGTGGAGCTCCGGCTGCTGCCTTCAACTCATCCTAAAACACACACACGCGTCATGTCATGTTGGAAACTTAGGAAATAGTGGAATAAGAGTAAGGGGCTAGGTGAGAGGAGGGGGTAATGGTAGGGTGTAGGGAAAGACTAATATGGCACCTTTCTGTCCAGGAACTTGGAGTGCATCTGCATGTCCTCCTCCCACACCCGAGGCCCTTCTCAAACACTGGCTTATCATCCCTCAACTCTGACACACAACACACTTACACACAAACATGGAAATAGGGGAAGATTCCTAATAGTGTGTGTCTACCTGTGTATATTTGGGGCAGGAGCAGCAGGAGCCTCATGTTGATGGGAGAGCCCACCTGCACTCGACAGGCCAGGTGCCTAAACAGGAACAGGATGTGACATCACACAGGGAGAAAGAGATGGAAGGAGCAGTGGTGACCTGTATGTCATGGGTTTCTCTGGTGTAGGCCTGGTTACTGTAAAAGCACTTTGTGACAACTGCTGATGTAAAAAAAAAAAGGCCATATAAAAATGTGCTTGATTGATTGTAGAAGTGATGTCCTCTTACCCGTCAGGTAGAAAGTAGCTGGGATGTCCTCCACTGAGTCCACCGTCCT